CTACTACTACTACTACTACTACTACTACTACTGCGACTACGACTACGACTACTACTACTACTACTACTACTACTACTACTACTACTACTACTACGACTACTACGACTACTACTACTACTACTACTACTACTACTACTACTACTACTACTAACACTACTACCACTACTACTAAGACTACTACTACTAGTGCTGCTACTTCCTGCTCCTTTTCCATATCAGGATATACTCCTGCTCCCCCCTCTCCCCGGCCGATCGCCGCCCCAACCGCGACGTCCCATCCTATCTGGCAATATACAATCCAAAACACACATGTTTCGCCATTTCCTATCAACATGGACGTCCTGTCGTCCACGCCGATAGCCCCGTGCCCAAAAACCACTCAATGCACACGCGCGCGTCCATGTCAAAACCCAGCAACCACACACTGCGCCTGCAAACGATTTAACACATTACCCTGGCGACGGACCCGACACTTGCGCAATGCGGGGCGTACATTCATCAGGATTGCTACAACGGGGGCGATGAAGTAACATGGACGCATGTGATTTTGCGAACAGCAACCGGAAGGCTCGCAGGCCCCCGATCAAGATCTAAGGACTACCCAACCCATTTGTATAATGGGAAACGAGGAGTTGGCCGAAACTTGCACGGACCATCAAATTGCAGGATCCGTTGTTTGATATGTAAGCTACTTGGGACACGCGCCAATGGCATGATGCGCAGGAGAACCATACAAGAACGAGGGGCGACAACTACAGGCTCGAAGAAGACATGGGGAGTCGGGAACGAAGAGCAGGAGAAAGACGTGCGGGAAGCCCACTGTGTTGGGCCCCTCAGCAGCCCTCGAAAGTGGCGACAGTTTCACAGATCGCAGCCCCCCAAGGATGGCGAGGTCTAATCTGAGTCTGCGGTGAGTACCCACTGTGCTGGGCCCCCTAGCAGCCCTCGAAAGTGGCGACAGTTTCACAGATCGCAGCCCCCCAAGGATGGCGAGGTCTAATATGAGTCTGCGGTGAGTACCCACTGTGCTGGGCTCCCCAGCAGCACTCGAAAGTGGTGACAGTTTCACAGATCGCAGCCCCCCAAGGATGGCGAGGTCTAATCTGAATCTGCGGTGAGTGCCCACTGTGCTGGGCCACTCAGCAGCCCTCGAAAGTGGCGACAATTTCACAGATCGCAGCCCCCCAGGGATGGCGAGGTCCCATTTGAGTCTGCGGTGAGTACCCACTGTGCTGGGCCCCTCAGCAGCCCTCGAAAGTGGCGACGGTTCCACAAATCGCAGCCCCCCAGGGATGGCGAGATCCCATATGATTCTGCGGTGAGTACCCACTGCGCTGGGCCCCTCAGCAGCCCTCGAAAGAGGCGACAGTTTCACAGATCCCCCACCAGCCTTTGAACCAGCCGTGAGTACCCACTGTGTTGGGCCCCCCAGCAGGCCTCGAAAGTGGCGACAGTTTCACGGATCGCAGCCCCCCCAGGGATGGCGAGGTCCAATTTGAATCCGCCGTGAGTACCCACTGTGCTGGGCCCCCCAGCAACCCGCGAAAGTGGCGACAATTTCACAGATTGCACCCCCCCGGGGATGGCGAGGTCCATTTTGAATCCGCCGTGGGTACCCACTGTGCTGGGCCCCCCCAGCAGCCCTCGAAAGTGGCGACAGTTTCACAGATCGCAGCCCCCCAGGGATGGCGAGGTCCCGTTTGAATCCGCCGTGGGTACCCACTGTGCTGGGCCCCCCAGCAGCCCTCGAAAGTGGCGACAGCTTCACAGATCGCAGCCCCCCAGGGATGGCGAGATCCCATTTGAATCCGCCGTGAGTACCCACTGTGCTGGGCCCCTCAGCAGCCCTCGAAAGTGGCGACAGTTTCACAGATCGCAGCCCCCCAGGGATGGCGAGTCCCATTTGAGTCCGCCGTGGTGCCCACTGTGCTGGGCCCCCCAGCAGGCCTCGAAAGTGGCGACAGTTTCACAGATCGCAGCCCCCCAGGGATGGCGAGGTCCCATTTGAGTCTGCCGTGGGTACCCACTGCGCTGGGCCCCTCAGCAGCCCTCGAAGTGGCGACAGTTTCACAGATCGCAGCCCCCCAGGGATGGCGAGGTCCATTTGAGTCTGCCGTGGGTACCCACTGTGCTGGGCCCCCCAGTAGCCCTCGAAAGTGGCGACAGTTTCACAGATCGCAGCCCCCCAGGGATGGCGAGCAGCCCCCCAGGGATGGCGAGGTCCCATTTGAGTCTGCCGTGGGTACCCACTGTGCTGGGCCCCCCAGCAGCCCTCGAAAGTGGCGACAGTTTCGCAGATCGCAGCCCCCCAGCTGGCACGCAGCGACGAGCGAGGCAAAAGTTAAGGGGGAAGAGAGGGGTGGGAAGGAAGGAAGGAGACGCGCGAGCAGTGCTGTATTCAAAACGAGAACCCAACGCAGGAGGGTTGGGAAAAAAACCGTTGGCTGTGCCATGCGCCCGTTGCACCCAACGTATCCCACAACAGCTCTTGGGATCCCCCGCGGGATACGTGTAGGCGCAACGTTATGGCCATCGCCCGGCAGATGGTCTGTTTCACAAATCACCCCCGTTGGCTTTGCTATGCGCCCGTTGCGCCTAACGTATCCCGCAGCAGCTCTCCAGAG